TAGCAGGGACGGCCTTTTTAAAATACTTCCCAAGATTGGTTGTCCACCTCGTCTCCTCAACATCATCAGATCTTTCCATCAGGGAATGAAAGGCACTGTAGTTTTCGACGGCTCAACATCAGACCCCTTTGACATTCGAAGCGGAGTGAAACAGGGCTGTGTCCTCGCACCAACACTTTTTGGGATATTTTTTGCTGTCATGCTGAAGCATGCCTTTGGAACTGCAACCGAGGGCGTCTATCTCCGGACTAGATCAGACGGAAAGCTCTTTAATCTTTCTAGATTGAGAGCAAAGACCAAAGTACAACTGAAATGCATGCGGGACTTCCTCTTCGCAGATGATGCAGCCATTGTTGCCCACTCTACCGAAGACCTCCAACAACTCATGAATCGTTTCAGCAAGGCCTGCCAAGACTTTGGACTAACAATCAGCCTGAAGAAAACACAAGTCATGGGCCAGGGGGTGGACTCACCTCCTTCTATTACCATCTCCACAAAAGAATTGGAAGTTGTTCATGACTTTGTGTACCTCGGCTCAACCATCTCTGACACCCTCTCTCTAGATGTCGAGTTGGATAAACGCATTGGCAAAGCAGCCACCATGTTCTCTAGACTCACAAAGAGAGTATGGCTCAATAAGAAGCTGACGACACGTACGAAGATCCAGGTCTATAGAGCATGTGTCCTAAGCACACTCCTGTACTGCAGTGAGTCCTGGACCCTTTGTGCACGGCAGGAGAGGAAGCTGAACACCTTCCATATGCGTTGCCTCCGACGGATTCTTGGTATCACCTGGCAGGACAAAGTTCCAAACAGTGTAGTCCTAGAACGAGCTGGAATTTTCAGCATGAATACATTACTGAAGCAGCGACGTCTACGTTGGCTGGGGCACGTCGTGAGAATGACTGATGGTCGGATTCCAAAGGATCTCCTGTATGGAGAATTAGTGCAGGGAAAGCGCCCCAGAGGGAGACCACAACTGCGATACAAGGACATCTGCAAGCGGATGTTTTTATATCTCCCCCTTGCCTCATATTGCTCTTGCCTTCTCCAGCAAAAGAAGGTACACTGCAGTTCCTGAAAGCCTTAAGAAGTGGCACTAATTAATAAATCACAATCTCCCCTGTACCCTTTATCGCCTCAAAACACCCAAGTGGACTGATAGCAATTTCCAATTTGGACTTTTGGAGGGGGTATGTTGTTTTTTTAGCGGTCAGCGTAGCCCCCAAACAGTCTTGGGGACAGAAAACTGACTCCCAGACCCACCAAAGGTGGTCATACAGGGGAAAGTGGGAGGGACGTTGACAGTTCCTAAACTGCACTCTCAGGTGCTTGCTCACTTTCTTTCCCTCATCCTCCACTTCTCACAATCCAGGGAACAGAGAAGAGCAAATCTGGGTCCCCTGCTGAAACGCGGGGGGGGGGGGGGGGGGGGGGGGGGGGGAGAGAAAGAGAGAGAAGTGCCATCAGATACTTTATTCAGGGACCTGATGTCACTGGGAAGTTTGGCCAAGACCCTTGCATCACCTGCCATGGAACACTGTAGAGAATATTTTCCCCTCCATGAAGTTGCTCAGCCTCTTCTAAAGAAAAGGAATTCTTCAAGAGAAAAGTCAATCGGTAACAAATTATACAACAACCCCACACAATTTCTGCTTCTTTTATTGGAATTTATACCCAATGGCATTTTCTGAGGATTATATTAATATACATAAATATAAATTAGATAGAGCAAATAACCAAATATTATATATTTTTAAATTATGTAAACATTATAATTATATTTAAAAAGTTTAATGTAACTTACAATCATCATCACTCATATCCGTTTCCTCGATGAGTGTGCATTCTATTAATGAGAGGACACCTCCTGCCTAGGGAAATAAATCATAATTTTTTTTAAGAAAGCACTTTCACCCTCTCTACCCCACATAAAATTATGCATGCTTATGGAAGTTAAAATTTCAAAGACTCGTATTATTAATACAGCAAATTTTTCAAACTGCATGCCGTTATTTTTCTACTTAGTATAACTATGCAACATATTATCTTAGTACAAAGGAAATAAATTTTATTAAAAGGATTAATGACATGGTACATTCTGGTATACTAGGGCAGCAACTCAGCAGGAGTAATATTTTGACAAAATAAACAATATATGTCTTAATCTAAGAGTAAAACACATTAATACAAAACTTTTTTCACATTTGAATAAATTACAGTTGTAATCCAGGCATGATTCTAACTGTAGGAATATTTTGCAGTGCAAATTTATATTAGAAATGGCAGTATTCGTATTGTAAAGCTGCAAAAGTACATACAAACACCTGTGAGTAATCCCCATTTAACATGGTGGGAATTACTCCTTTGTAGACAAACACAGGATAGTACTATTAGTAGCATCAGAGCCTGGAACCCCCAAAAAACCCTTGGCCAGTTACCCCCCCCCAAAAAAAAATCCTGCTTAGTTAAGTTGGAAAGGTGCACATTCTCTTCAGTACAATTCTCTTGTGCATCTTACTTCTGTGTACTGAGAGCATGTTTCCAGTCAACCATTGTGCATTACCTTAGTCTCCAATTTACTGTGATATCTCAGGATCTTTCTGTTAAAGTCATACTACCATACAATAATAATCCACTGTGCACTAGGAATCACCAAAATTAAAAACATTATCTTCTTCATTTTACTATGCTAGTTATGATCCAGTAGTTATGAAAATACTGTACCTTAAGTAGATGCAGCTTTCCTCCAGAGCTTCTTGTGCAAATCAAAAAGTGTTTTGTAAATAAAAAACATTGTCTTTCTCCTTCTTTTTTCAAAGACAATGATCCTAGGCGCACTTTACTAAGTTTCCCCCTCTCAACTGAAGGGACCTGAATAAGAGTACCTGGCGGTTACAAAAGGAAATAGTGGTTAATAAATAAGTCAGTGAAATTCTTTGCAATTTATAACTTATGATATATTCAATACCATGTACCTCTTTGGTAAATCATCATATTACAGGTTCAGATGACCATCCAAAGTATATTTGTTCTAGTAAATTTTAGTGTAATATTTAAAATGTGACTGTCGGAAAGACTGCAGCATTTCGATCACAGAAATAGGGTCACAGCTATTGTATCAAACCCAATAGACTGAAATTAGTAGAAAAATGTCCTTTCACGTCACTGTACAACTATGCTGATTTCCATTTAGGATTAAAAGGTATGTTTTTACGAATACTGTGACAATACTGGGCACTGACCAACGATCTGACTCAGTATGTGCCAACTTATGTTTCTATGTTTATCCCAATTTATCATCAAAAACACTTGTGTGATGAAACCACAGGTAGACTGAGTGGAGAGACAGACATCTGTCCAGCCACTGTAAGTAAGCTTCATAATTAAGTGGGAGCACTATGAGCAAAACAGGAGAGACTATCTGGTGGGCCATATTTACTCCTAGAACCCTCCTCAGGTTTCCAGGAAGGCCCTTCTTTTGGTCCTGACACCCTGACAAAGACTCAAAAGAAGGTCTTCTTCGTGGCTGCCTCCAAATTACAGAATGCCCTCCTCTGTAAGGCTAGGCTCTGCCCCTCTCCCCATTCTTTCAGGGACAAGTACAGTATGCCCTATGCTTTATGCCATTATATTCTTCTCAATATGGTTTTAAATGCTTTTACATCTTTAAATCTGGATTTTAATAGTTCTGTCTGCCTATCTGTCTATTGGATTTCTACACCACCCAATTAGTGAAAAACACTACTGCGTTCATTATCATGTTTTAATTTTTGTTTTAATCTTGTTTTATTTTTACTTTTTTATGACCTGTGAGATACCTTGAGTCTCTTTGCCAAGAGGAAGGCAGCAGAAAAGTGTGATAAATAAAAAATAAATAATAACTGGAGACTTTCCATACTCTCCAGAACACTGAAAAAACAGGGTTCACAACATGCAGTGAAGCCTATCTTTTTATGACCATTTCTGTCTGCATAGAGAGGGCAAAGCTAGTGCATGTTACCTTCACATATATTTATTTTAAACTTACTATGAACATCTGAATAGGGTTTCACTCTGTAATATATCTTACAACTGAACTCCTGGATACATATATTTGGGATAAATCTACTGATCTCACTGGGACTTGAAATAAATATGCCTTGGATCAAATTGGTCAGCTATGTTCTGATGTAAGCTTATTAGAAAGCAAATTCCTTTATATGAAGTTAATTTTGTTTTCTTTAGAAGTGGACAGTACTGGGACAGATTCAAACCAATAACAATCTTACGAATACCAACTACTGTAATTGGAACTTTATTAAAGTGCCTTAAAAGAAAACTTGTACCGAATTCTTTTCAACATGTTCCAGAACTCTAAAGATACACATTTTTGCTGAAACTTATTCATTCAATAAAAATATACTAAATAATATGTTGTCATATGATAGTTTATTAATTTACAGTTTTCTATATTGGGACACAAAGCAAAATTGCCATATTAAGGCTTGATTCGTAAGCACACTTATGAGAAAGCAAGCGCCTATTTAAGCCACAGGCAGGTTACACAACCACCCCATGCATTATTCTGTAGAAGCCACTGCTGACAAGTTCTAAAGCTAGGCACCAGCCTACATATATAGCATTTTCATGCCAGTACATCTTTCTAAACTGTATGTCACTGCAGCAAAAGCTACACAAATAAAAGCTAACTCACCTGATAAGAAACCTTTAAATTAGTTTAAATTAGTTGCAACACCTTGAGCATCACCTTGCTTGCACGGGAGATTAAGGCAGTGGTTCTGTAGATACTAAAAGGGACGTGGTGGCACTGCGGGCTAAACCGCAGAAGCCTGTGCTGCAGGGTCAGAAGACCAAGCACTTGTAAGATCGAATCCACGCGACGGAGTGAGCTCCCGTCGCTTGTCCCAGCTCCTGCCAACCTAGTGGTTCGAAAGCATGTAAATGCGAGTAGATCAATAGGGACCACTTCGGTGGGAAGGTAACAGTGTTCCGTGTCTAAGTCGCACTGGCCATGTGACCACGGGAGATTGTCTTTGGACAAACACTGGCTGTATGGCTTGGAAACGGGGATGAGCACCGCCCCCTAGAGTCGAACACGACTGGACAAAAAGTGTCAAGGGGAACCTTTACCTCTACCTTTTTCTGTAGATACTGCACTTTTTTGTATCTCCTTTTTTGGGGTTAGAACATATATTGAACATTTCTAGTCTGTGGCTACTTTTATTTTCCATATTTGTGGTTATATTCTTGTTAGGATTTTAACAGATTCATTCTCTATGGCTTGAAACAGTTGTATTAGTATTCCTTCTACCCTTTGTGATTTCTTTCTTTCTAATTCTTTCAAAGCAGCTTTCACTACACTTTCCAGAACTGCATGTTCTTCATAGGTTTCTCTTCAAAGGACTCTGTCCTCATTTTATCTCTTCAGTATACGTGTTCAGTAAACTGTTTCCACTTTCTCTTTAACTTGCCCTAGTCAAATAGTGTGGTCTTCCAGCATTCCTAATATAGGCTTAAATTTCTCTTTGAGTTCTTGGATCTTCTGAAAGAGATCTCTTGTTTTTCCCTTTCTGTTGTTCTCCTCTTTTTTTCTGCACTCATTATTGTAATAGAGTCTCTTTGTCTCTACATGACAGTTGTTGAAAAATTGTATTCACGGTTGTGACCCTACTTCTGTCACCTTTTACTTTTGCTTCTCATATGTCCCTTACAATTTTAATTGTTTCTTCCATCATCCATGTAGGTTTTTCTTTTCTTTTTTACAACAGGAATTATATTTTTGCATTCTTCCCTTATAATATATCTGGTTTCAATCCACAATACTTCATGTTAATTAAATTTAGTAATACAAATCTGTTCTTTATGTGGACTTTAAATTCATCAGTAATGTCTCAAAGGAGGTTTCCAGGTGGTAGAAGTATTTACATTTCTAAGTTTCTTATTATTATTTGAAACCACACTACACAAAGCAATTTATATTCAGATAACACACATATGGCAGTGATAAGTTTTCTTGTTCAAGATTCCAACTGACCAGCCACTTCGGCTTGGTATTTATTCTCTCCTGACAAACAACAGTTTTCCATTTTATCCACATCTCTTTCTCTCTCTTACTTGCTTATGTTTACAATATCTCAAAACTTTTGCTATATCTGAGGCTGGTGACATAATCCCATTTTGTGTGTAGAAGATACAATGTTGATTACATAAGGATTAGTCCTCAATGAACTGAGTACACTAATAGCATGAAATAGAGATTCATGATGTCTTCCAGTAAGTAATTTTTTTGGCACATTTGCTGAGCTTCTACAAAAACCATAGCAAAGACTTTATAGTAGTTACAGCTAAGGCAAGTTCCTAGGCACTGAAACACCCAGATACTTGTATCATATTCTCATCTTCAAAAAGAAAAAAGAAAAGAAATTTCCAGCTGGCCTTGACACTGAAAAACTCAACTGGCAAAATCAAATAGATAAGTAAAAATCAAATTTTATCATTTTGAGCTGATTCTGAAGTACAAATTAAAAATGGGAACAACAGGCAGCTATTTTCACTCCTCACAATCTCTCCAGCATTTGACAAAGCTTCAAGTACATCACGTTTTTCTTGTGCTTTTGCCCGAATGTTGGCATCATCTGGGACTGCAACTTCTATGGGCCAGATAGACCTATTTTCCATGGTGCTGTAGATATTTTCTGCTCCGCTGAAGATGGCAGTCCGCTTATTGCGTAACTTACTTTTCAATGAATGCTTTACTATTATAGTGCTGCTGTTTTTCATCTCTCCTGGAAAAAAACAGCATAAAGGTGGGGCTCAGGAGCAGCCCAAAACTGTAGGGCAAATGTTTACGAATCATATCCATACAAGTGCAGATTTCTGATGCTAACTATATATCGTCCTACATAGTTATCCTTCCCAATGATGCCAACATTAATTCTGCTATTTTCAGTTTCATGTTCTTAACACTCTACAGCCAAAATCCTACTGCTTAGCATAGTAAATTGCACTAGGCCCATTGAATCAATGGGGATTTAATGAGTCAACCCCACCATACATTTGATTGGTTCAAATGGGCCTACTCTAACTGCGATGTATTATGCTAAAGTAAGCTACAGTTAGAGTAGGCCCATTTGAATCAATGGAACTTGTGAAGGATTTGATTCAAGGGCCTATTCTGGGGAGATTTACTATGCTAAGCAACAGGAGTTATAAATATATATTGGACAAAGTGGACTTACCTTGCCGTATAAAGGTTTGGCTGGTGTCCAATAATATGTCACACCCCTCAACTATCATTCTTTCTATTGCAAGATTTTTCCGTATGTTTTCTGTGTCACTCACTTCATCATGCATCACTCTATGGCAAAACAGAAAAACAGAGAGAAAAAGCAGTTTTCATTTCCCAGAAACTAATTTTTAGCTGTGCATGAATAACACAAAAATAACAAGAAGTCTAATAGCACCTTAAAGATTAGCAAATTTTATTTGGAGTAGGATTTCATGAACTGTAGTACACACAGTACTTTTTCAGACGCAAAATAAAACTTGTGAGTGTTTAAGATGCCATAAGACTCCATTGTTAGTGTTTAAGGTACCACCACAAGACTTCAGCACAGCCATTGCTTGGAAAGTGTGTAGTTAACTATAGCTTCCCTGAACCCTATAGCTTTGATGAAACTTTTTCGTCCAATTCCAGCAATATCTAAAGTTAGTTAAGCAGTCACCAGAGAATCTGTTCAGTTATTGTGCCTTGCTTTTGGAATATTCTTTCAGGCAAAAAAATATGCTTGAGACCTTACTTTGGGCACTAGTTAAACATATTTGCTAAGTAGTTCAGCAAGGTGAACAGTCACTTTACTAGTTTAGCATTATTTTATCTCCTATGGTTGGTTCTGTACAGCAAAAACAACAATCTTGTGGCATCTTAAAGGCTATTTTTTCTACCACGTGCTTTTGTAGATTTCAGCCCACTTGTTCAAACACATGGAGTATAGTCTCAGTAGATAGATGTTAATAGACAGGCAGGGAAGATGAGCATAAATACAACAACTAACAACTCAGCTATCCCCTATTATTCCTAGGTTTTGTACTATTTTCTTGTTGAATAGCTTGTGATGCAATGTTACTCCCTTTGTGAAAGAGAACTTATAGGAACTCATACATAAAATTGGTTTTAGCATAAATATCCTGAATAAACAAATATGTCCCATCACATTTCCCTAAGAACAGGTAATAGTGCTTGATGCTAGCAAAGGTCTTGAAATGGAGAGGCATGTTAAACTGGGTGGAGTGTTCAGTGTGGATGAGTACAATTTTTGATTGACTACAGAGGTGGGTCTGTCCAGTTGTTTTCTAAGATAAAACGAGTACCCCTCCAAATAACTGTAGACTCTTCATTCCCATCAGCCCCCAGCAGTATGGCTGTTCGTCAAGAGTGGTATGTCCAATGCAGGATATATAATAATGGGCTCAAGCTATAGGAAGAAAGATTTAGGCTGAATATCAAGAAAAACATCTTAACTGTTAGAGCAATATGACAATGGAACCAATTACCCTGGAAGGTAGTGAGCACTCCAACGCTGGAGGCATTTAAGAAAAAATTGGACAACTATCTGTCAGATCTGCTTTGATTTGTGTTCCTGCATTGAACAGGCTGTTGGACTTAGTGGCCTTATAGGCCCCTTCCAGCTCAATTATTCTATGATTCTATGACATCCAATTCTTCTCTACACAAGAATTGGAGGTTGTTCATGATTTTCTGTACATTGGCTCAACAATCTCTGACACCCCCTCTTTAGATGTCGAGCTGGATAAATACATTGGCAAAGCAGCTACCACATTCTCTAGACTCAAAGCAAGATTATGGCTTAATAAGAAGCTGATGGCATATACCAAGATCCAGATCTGTAAAGCCTGTGTCCTGAGTACACTCCAGTACTGCAGTGAGTCCTGGACCCTTTGTGCACATTCCATATGCGTTTCTGATGCATTTTTGGCATCACATGGCAGGACAAAGTTCCAAATAGATCAGTCCTAGAACAAGCTGGAATTTTCAGCATGTATACATTACTGAAACAGAGATGTCTACATTGCCTCGGGCATGTCGTGAGAATGGCTGAGGTCAGATTCCAAAATATCTCCTGTATCGAGAATTAGTGCAGGGAAAGCGTCCCAGAGGGAGGCCACAGCTGTGATACAAGGATATCAGCAAGTGGGATCTGAAGGCCTTAGGAATGGGCCTCAACAGATGGGAAACCTTGAAATCTGAACATTCAGCCTGGCCTCTCCCAGTTTGAAGAAGCACTTGTTCAGCAGGCCAAGGCAAAGAGGCAGTCCCGAAACCAGCAAAATCAGGGAGCTGGACAGGGGACAGACTGTATTTGTCCTCAGTGTGGAAGGGATTGTCACTCTCGTATTGCCCTTCTCAGCCACACTAGATGCTGTTCCAAGTCCTCCATACAGAGCATGTTACCATAGTCTCTCGAGACTGAAGGATGCCTATATTACATACGGCATCCAGAAGACTATGGAGTATCCATTTCTGCTGGGTAATGTCCCTCTGAGCGCCTGGTACAGGTATTAATTGCTTGTCATCAAGTCAATTCTCACTGATGGCAAGCTTTCAGGGTTTTCTAGTGATAAAGTATTCAAGAGAGGTTAACCATTGCCTTTGCATGGTGGCATTCTGGAACCATATAGATTGCCCAAGGCTATACAAGTTAGATCCTTTCCTGAGATGCACATTGGAGAATCACAGGCTCCACAGCCAGATACCTAACTCACTGAGCTGTCCACCCAGCTGGAAAAGGTATAGGATACCAATACTGCAAATAAAGAACTGAGGCAGTAGAATTATTAGTCTGTTACAGCAAGTTAAATTTTTATGTCATCTCCAAGACAGATAAGTTTTATTTGACAGAGGTGTTTACAGACTGCAGCCCACAGCTTGAAAATATATTGAGTCATGTATCTGAAGAAATGGGTTAAAGTTAATGAAAGCTTTATGCAAAACAAGACCTATTAGTACTTAAAAAGCAGAATCACTCTTTTCAGAAAAGTATCCATGGTAGTCTATTTCAGCAAAAACAAAAACAAATGCAAACAAAATTCTCTGTTGTTATTTCAAACAAATAAGTGTATCTTTCTGGGCAGTATTAGCAAAACATATTTCTGAGCACCAAGAGAAAAGCAGCCTAGACATGAAACAAACAAACAAATGAAAAGCACAATAATTCAAATTTTCAGGATAATACAATAGTTGATTTTAACCTTTAAGATATTTGGATCCATTTTATTGAATGGCTTACTAAAGACTGGCTTCTCATAAAGTCTGTGTTCATGTAAAATAGGCTCAAAACAAGGAAAGAATTTCCTATCAGTAACAGGCACACACCTATGTTTATACAGATCTAATGTGATGTAGTGAACAGAGTGATGGACTAGGACTCAGGTGACTTGGGTTGAAATCTCTGCTTGGCCATGGAAGCTCATGGAGGTGGCAGTGTAAAATAATAGTAAAACTACTTCTTAAATATCTGATATATTTTCGATACGATTAGGGTCACTGCAAGTTGGATGAAACAAGAAATAATGATGATAATGACAAATGCTTAAACTAGGTAATACTGGCCTTTGATGGTTCTTTTCAAAATCAAATGTAACTCTCTGGGGACACCTTAGAATATATTTTTAATTTTGCTGTGTTAGGAAACACCCGAACCGTATGTTTTCTTAATAACAAAATAATGCATTGGTTATATATTCTGCATTTTTTATTCTGAATTCAGATATAGAACGTGAACGGAGTCTCACCTTGAAAGTTCTTCTAGCTTCGATTTAGCAAACTCAAGGCTTTTTCTTTCCACATGTTCATGCGGTGTGTGAGCCAGAAGTTCATGAAGGGTTATAATATATCTAGGAATCTAAAGGTGAATGGAGGGCATTACAGCAATCATTCAAAAACATTTTAAAAATATTTTTCAAAATGCATTCAAAAGAGCAATGATGAAGAATGTATTAAAATGTGTCTGTAATACTAATATTATACCCAGTGTGTTGTAATGGACAGAGCAATGGACTAGGACTCAGGAGATCTTGATTCGAATCCCCACTTGGCCATGGAAACTCACTGTGGGAGTGGAACTGGTAAAACTACTCCTTAAATATCCCAGTTATCTTGAAAATCCAATTTCGACTTGACAGCACCGACCTACTACTACTACTACTACTACCACCACCACCACCACCACCACGAGATGAACTGAATCAAAAAAAGAAAGCTACTGTGTTTAGTTTGCAAGCACTGGAGCAGGACTGTTAATCAAAAGCCTTTTTCAAAGTCATAAATTCATAAGGTTGCTGTAAGTCAGAAACAATTTGACAGTGCATAGCAACAGAAATGCTAATGGTTATGATCAAATTCTGTTATAGCAAAAGCCATTAGGATTACAACCAAAACAATGAAATGTTTTTATAAATGCATTTTTTAAAAAACTACCTGAAACATGGGGTAAGTAAGGAACGTCTCAAGCATTCTGCCTTCACATGCAGGGTTAGCTTCATACTGCTTCAAGAGTTTGTCAAAATCTCTGTTCTGCTTGCAGTTTGCAAGCACTTGGAGACTATATTGGTGATTCCGAACAAATTCTTGATAAATATTCAGCATAGGTAGCAGAATGTCAAATAAATCAGCTATAAAGAACAAATAATAAAAGTTGGTATGTGCTGCTATCCATTATTTTCATAGCAGGAAAGCAAAAATTAAACCAAATTATTTACGTTCAGTTTATACACAACCTATCAAATAAGGCAGTGGTTCCCAACCTTCTTCAAGTCACGACCCATTTATAATAGCCAAATAACCTGTGACACTCCCACTATGTTTGAATAAAAATGCATTTTAATGAGGTAAAGTAATATATTCTCAGAAAGCAGAGGCTTCCATCTCCCCCAATGATCTGAAAGGTCAAGGAAGAAATTATTTAACAAAGACTACAACACATATAAGGTGACCCGCAACTCTTGGGTTGGAAAACATTGAAATAAGGATGTCCACTTTCTACATTAATATCACTACCTGACTTGTGCTAGCAATAGTAAGAAATATAGCAGTCAGTTCTGAATGGATTGCTGTCTTTCTTCCTCAACAGAAGCTATGCACCTTTTCTTGATTCAGAAATCCAGAAGTAGTGAAACCTATACTTGTGGAATTTCTGCCTGTCATGCAGTTGTCAAAAATGCAGAGCCTCTGGTGGAAAAGTTGGCACTTAAAAAGTCAGCCACTCTGCATAATGAAATATACTGAAGCCTCACAAGTTAATTATTCCTTCTGAAACAGACATATACTGTATAAAGGTCATTCACTTTGTGTACAAGTTGATGCTGCTAATTTGTAACCAAATAAATATAGGATCATGATGCATCAGTGTATACCCTGTGGGCTGATTTTCCAGAATCAAACACATCTTGGTGAGGACAATGTTTGATTAAGCCACTTGTGCAATGACATGGTGCAAATTAATTTGACTTTTATGGTACCTGCTCAAGGAGGTATCTGGGAACTCCTTTTTCAAAGCAGGAGTCTGTTATTTGTAATGGAGAACTCTGTAAGGCAATGCTTGCACAATTGGCAGATCCTACCTCACTGCTGCTGTTACACATATTTTCAGACCTTTGCTCATAGTAAAGTTGAAGGCTAAAATCTTGTTAGGGAAAAAAAAGTGTGCAGCGACCCTCCAACAGTCTATCCTTCATGTGACTGGTCACTATCACACACCCAATTTTATAACCAACAGACAAACAGTTGTGCAGAGGAAAGCATGTCTGAACAATTGCTTTCATGTAATCATGCAAGTGGACAGAATTCTGGCTGACATTTTTTCACACACCTCTTGGAAATATGTGTATGTACATAAGTGTCTATGCAGATGAAGAATTCCCTTGCTATGGCTGTGATAAAGAATTGAAGGCAGCCCAAGATAGCCACATAAAAACAAGTCTGTTCCTGCTGAGGAATAACAGCCACACACATAAATCCAAATCAAGAAACTTACCTAAAATTAAAGTTGGCCAGTTTGCTATTCTTGCTTTTAAACCTTGATGAAATATTTCATGAAGAAACATTATAGTTTCACTGGAAAGAAGCAAGAGTTGGAAAATTATATATAAGTCATTGGAAGTTATTAATATCAACTGTTCTGAGCACATATTACATGGAGTTTGATACCACATATATTTAGTTAACAGCAATACAGCATTTCAAAAACTTTGGAATGGAATGAATATGTCATCAAATAAACATTTTACTGAACAGCTTATCTATTTGTTTATTTTTCTGTCCAACCTTTCTGCTAGTGAAGATGCTAGCTGCTAACAAGAATTCAGAAAAAGCAGACATACAAAGATACAATCAAACATAAAAAGATATTTCAAATATAATAATAAAAATAAATACTATTGCAATTCATCTGGGCAGCATTATTTATTATTCCATGAAAAGAATGATTACTTATTATTTCATGCAGTTGTAACTCCCAGATATTTATAACTGGTGAGGGTAGGATAGTACATTGATGCCCTTCTTCTAGCCTCCATGGTTCGCCTGTAGGTGACAGCCTGAAAGGGTTTGATGGTCCCACAGGCAGGGAAGGGTTGTGTTTGAATCAGCTAGATCAAAACCCATTCTATTTTCCATAAGTCCAAGATCAGCTCATCAGTCACAGCAGCCTTGCTCTGGCATAGGTAATCTACACTCCACTGTTTGCCAGTGGTGGGTGGAAGTGGAAATACAGAGGTCTTCAGGCTTGAAAGTCACAGTGAGAACTCTCCTCCAAAAATTTTTATACAGGCCAGTGCATGTGAGCAAGGTTGAGAACAGAAGTCTAATTTTGTCTTCCCTGATCCTAGTTAGGATTGCTTTGCCTTCATTCTCAGAATACACAGAGCAACGTGCTATTGAAGTTATCAAGGAGAACATCAACTTAAATGAGTTGTCCTTCTCACTGTGATAAAGGCAGATGAACTGACAAGCTGGAAAACGTTAATACACGTTTCTCCCTTACCCGACAAAAACAGTTTAAAGATGTCTGCAATACTAAATACAACCCAACACATTAAATTCTGCTTAGTACAGTGCTATTAATGTGACTAAAGTGCCACGTAAAAAGAGCTGAATTAACTTCATTGTCTCAGATATAACAAAACAAGAGCCTCAAAAATATATAAAATAATACCTGTTGAGGAATATGCTACTGACATCATCATGACTGATTGGTGGCTTCTTTGAACTTGCAGCCATTCTTAATGGTCTTAGGAAACAATTTACAAGGATGTAAAGTTGATGCACATATTCCGATTCAGCCTCAACCATATTGAAAACTATTTGATTTCTCTTCCTCATACTTTCCGCATGTGGTGAACAAATATAATCTTGGACAATTGTCTTCCACTTTCTTCTACACAACCAGCCACGCATAAAACTCTGGACCTAAAAATTAAGTAAAAGAAGACACTATTAAAATAGTCTTCACAATACAGGGACATGAAGCAGAACAAACCTCTCTGCATTTTTCAAACATTATAGTCAACATAATTTTTGGTTATACTGTTCACACTTTCATGGGAATAGGGGAATTAATATGTGAAGCAGTACTCAGCTGAAGCACATAACATAGTAACAACAATTATGAGCTGCCAAGTCAATTCTGATTTATGGTGACCCTTTCCAGGATTATCTACAAATGGATTTTCTTGAGGAGTGAGTTATCATTTCCTTCTTCTGGGGGTATGCTTGGAGCCTTGGTGCCTGCCCAAGGCTACGCTGGTTATCTCTTCTCCTGGAAGCCAGTATGGGGAATCAAACTTCCAACCTCTAGATTCCTTACTCATTGAGCTATCCAGCCAGACATAGAACATAGAAAGATGCATTATAACAAATTAGACCAACAGTCCATTTAGTTCAACAAAAGACAGCATTTTCCTAAGGACTGAAGCAGATTTTTTTTTTCATAGTCCATAGGCGTATACTTACTAAAACGAAGAGTTGCATGCAGTGCATTTCCTGTGTAATTAAGCTGCAGCCCCACCATAATGAATGGCTGGATTGCTCTCAGTGATTTAGATATGTGGCTGTGGAACCAGAGGTTGGGAGTTTGATTCCCCACTATGCCTTCCTGACAGAGGCTGCTCTGGATGATCCATATATCCAGCCCCGCAATTCTAAAATGATTATTATTGTTGTTGTTTTTTTGTTGTTTCTAAATCTGTGTCAGTAATTCTTTTGGTTGTTGTGGGTTTTTCAGTAATTCTTTATCTAATATCCTTAACATAATGTTATTAATTTGTTTTATATGTGAATAATTCACTGTTTTTAGCTTTAATATTGTGTTTTAATTATGTAAGTCACAGTAGATCATTTATTAGGAAAAAGGTGGATAACAATGAAAGGAAGGAAGGAAGGAAGGAAGGAAGGAATTTTTATTTATTTATTGAAGTTTGAAGTTATTGTCTTGGGGAGTAATATATTGTTATGATTTTAAATTGTAATTGTTATATGATATGTTGTTACCCGCCCAGAGTAGTCTATATGACTAGATGGGCGGGCTGTAAATGTAATAAATAAATAAATAACTGCTACCCTTTTGTTTAATGTGGCATTTCCTCCTTGGATTTAATTATATTTTTTATATTCCATTTAGTGCATTACTAAGTCTTTGACAATGTAGAATTTGTTTTAGCTTCTGCTTTTCTTCAGTGTGATGCTATCAGAGTAGCAAATATTAAGGGCTTTCTCTTTTGACTTATTTGTAACAAGCAGCTGCCTGTTTTATGTTCGCCCATTACATAAAGTGGCATGAAAATACAACCAACCCCCTTTTCAAAGCAATTTCCAGAGTATTGGTATATGCTGTGCTCATAATTTCTGATGCGTGTGGACTTTATCTACAATTAGCCCAGTTTTAACCAAAAGTCAGACATTAGGTGTTCGTGACCAGAAGAGTTTTGTGCTTAAGTCATTCTTTTTCATAACTCAGGAAAAATATGGGCAAATAACACTATTATCTCTATTCCGTTTAAACACGATATATGGTAGTTTACCTTTTTAATTTTTTTTATATCAGGATCTTCTTCTTCTTGGTTGCCATGGTATGGTCGCATCCGTTCTTTAGTTTTATTGAGAGCTACAATCTGAAGGGGGGGATTAAATGAACGATGGTTAAGATTTTTTAGAATTCCATAATGTTTGAGAATACCACAAGACTTGCAAAGTCCTATTTCAAAACACTGAAGCTTCTTAGATTTGTATAAAGTAAGCATTTCTCTGGATTTACAATAGTTCCACCAAACTCTGAAAAAAAATGACTATGTATCAGTTTGTAGCTATAAATGAACAACTGCAACAAAAATATATAAATAAATAAATCATACAGGACCAAAGATCTTAAGAGAAGAATAAAAAGCACCTAAGCAAAGACAGATCTTTTTTGTCCCACTGGAAGCATGAATTGTCACAATAAGATCTTTGGTTCCAGATGCACACACCACTAGAAATTACTTTAAGTTAGGCCTGCACACTTTGGAGACCTGTGAAACAACATACAGTACAGCACAGCAGCTATCAAGCTCCCATGTTTTGTGCCTTATTGAACCTGCAAAACCAACAGCAAAGCAAAAGCAAAGTGTTCTGCTTATACACCACCCCATAGTGCCTTAAGCACTGTCTGGGTGGTTTTACAAGTTAATTATGCAGGCTACACATTTGAACTAGGTATTCATTTTACCGACCTCAGAAGGATAGAAGGCTGAGTCAACCTTGAGCCTGGGACTGAACCCCAGGTTGTGAGCACAGTTTTGGCTGCAGTACACCAGTTTAACCACTGTGCCACGAAGCTGGTTGTCAAAGTATTTAACAAAAAGCATACATGGCTTGCATTCTCTGTTTGGCTTGATGAGAGACAGAAAGGCCATAGCCTCACATGGCAAGCCAAGGAACAACACTGCCTGATTAGTTACCAGCAGTACCATCAGGCACATCAGTGTGTCATCAGAATACAAGTGTTTTCTCTGTTCTGGCTGGGCTTTATCCCAGCATGTCAGAGGAAAAAACAAATTTCAATAATTCCCTGGGTTAAATTCCTTGTAACTGTGCCCGTAATATGCACTCTTGCTCCAGTGAAATTAAACACAGGACTATACAACCATCTGTTAGAACAAAAAGAGTATGGCCAAAATAAAATTGTAAAACAACTTTGCATCAATAATTAAAGTTATTAATAAAGCTAGAAAAAATAATCATGTAAATAAATCTAACTCTGCAGCAGTTATTACTTTGCTCTTAATCTAGGTTTCATCATTATAGGTTATGAGCATTTTGCTACTGACAGAAAAGTTAGACTGTACTGTAATATATCAATTAGAAGCACAGCAAGATGATAAGAGTAAATAGTACATTGTTTTGGAAGTTACCTCTGATTTAAGCCTTTCAATTTCTGTTTCTTGATCTTCAAGCTGATGTCGCAGCTGATTGGCTGAAATCTTTTCTGTCTCTACAATCTGAACTAGATGAATATACTTCTGCATTAATACTTCCCTCTCAATCAGAATATCTGAGTAGCTACAAACAGACAAAAAGACAAGAGGGAAATTTCAGTTCACAAGTACAGTAGCTTATTAATCACTGCAGGAGTGAAATGCAACCATACATCAGTAATCACAGTCCATGTGACTGCTTCTATAATAGTTAGACTAAAGCAAGGAATAGATTACATTTAATCTAGCAGGGTGAGTTGCTAAGGGATATGATCAGCTTTTCATCAGAGTTCAGTGGGTATCAATGCTACTAATTTTAAATTTAAATTTAAATTTAAAATAATTATTTGAACATTATCAAGAACTGGCAACATGAACATTTTATTTCGACTGCTATATTTATAAAGTTTCATTTTATCCCACTCCTCCAACAATTTGAGATAGCTTTTGAATAAGGGGAGATGGGAGTTTTGCTCATTTTGTTCACTGAAAACAAATGTGCCTATTCTCACTTCCTGAATCAAAATGTCCTTTGGTATTCAAAATTCTCCATGTTTCATGATGTAGTACTTCAAACAAAAATGTGTACAAAAATGTGTGGTAGAAAAAAATACAGATTGAACTCTTCGTAGAATTTTTTTAATTGCAGACTGCTTCGGAAACACAGTAGAACTAACTAAAATTGGAATAATGAGAAACTAAGAGAAATTGAAACTGAATGACAGATTAGCTCATCCACACTTTTGACCAATATAGCTTTCAATTATTTTCTGTAAGATGTTGCTGATCCAGACATTGAAAGGCATTAATTAGTGCACGCAGTGGTTTGGTGCCAGTCATGTAATTGGGGATGGGCAGGATAGAATGTAAGGTCACTGAGGATCAAAAGGGTGCACTCGTGCAGCCCTTTCACGATTACTCTTTCCACTTCCTAAACCCCTCAGGGATCAAATTTTCTAATCTGGGGGTTAGAAAAGGGGGGGGTCATCTTATACATTGGGTCGTTGTGGCGTTCACCTTTGTGGCACCTGATTGTTTTGCCCTCAGAAAGGCTCACATCATGTTTTTCTCTTGCTGCCACCAGTGGATTATCTCAATCCACAATATAAATGACATTTGTCAGAACACTTGTCTTGTGAATACAAACTGAACTTATTTATTGAAGTGAATCAGATTTAATAATAACAGAAATTCTTCAGATAATCATTGTACACAAGCAAATCATTAAGAGTTCTCTCAGTGCATACTTTTCTCTTACAATATCATTGCCACCTTCTTTACCTAATTTCTTAACCAGACTTATCACTCTGTATCTGTTCCCTCTCTCTCTCTCTGACTAACCACTCTGACTCTGACTTCTTTCTCACTTCGACTCTGCCTTTTAACATCTCTTTTTGGCTCCGCCTCTCAAACACATTAGCATAGAACCTGAATAATGCATGACTTATTTTGTATAACAAGGGGTGAACGCTACAGTCATCTATAAGAAAAATATGTGTTTTTTTAAGTCACAAATTTGGTAGATGAGTGGAATACTATGGACATGGTGTATGTTGACTTCAGCATGACTTTTAATTAAGTATCTTGTAATATTCTTGTAGCCAAGCTGGTAAACAATGATACTGTTAGATGGATGTGTAGCTGGTTGATGGGCTGTATCCAAACAGTTAACAACAGTTCCTTGTCATCCCGGACAGAAATGACAAGTGAGATTATGTAGGTTCTGTCCTGGGTCCAGTGTTGTTCAATATAATTATAAATGAATTGAATGAATGTATGAAGGGGGGTTGCTCATCACATTTGAAGATGAGACTGACCAGCGAGGTAACATTTCAAAAGTTTCAATAAAGGAACCTATTGCAAGCCCTATGAAGGGCTGTTAATGGCAGACTCTTCTGGACAAAAAACTCGCAAGACAAACGGTTTTGGCAATGGGGGGTTGATGACTCGCAAGACAAATGTTCCTATGGCGGTGCTTCACAAGATGAATGTTTTCCATTTTTTGTTCCTGCCTCATATTTGCTGATTTTTAAATGTTTTTCTATGATGTTTAAAAAGTTAAAGTTTTTGATTGAAATTTTTTAAATCATCTGCACAATATGTATGGCTTTAAAAAGCACTTAATAAACCCCTTGTAAACCAAATTTGACTTTGTTCTGACTTTTTTTGCCCATAGGAACGCATTAATTAGATTTCAATGCATTCCTATGGGAAAACGTGTTTCGCAAGACAAATTTTTCACAAGACATTAACCGCGGAACGAATTAAATTCATCTTGCAAGGCACCACTGTACCATATGCCATTGGCTTTTGCTAATTGAGCATTAATAACATGACATTAAATGAAATCGCTTTCCAGAAATTCTAATAGCCTTGTAAAAACAGCATATATTACAGTGGGGTCTTGACTTAAGAACGGCTTGAGTTAAGAACATTTTGACTTAAGAACCGCTCTCATAGGAAAATATTGACTTGACTTCTTTTTTTGCCCATAGGAACGCATTAATTAGATTTCAATGCATTCCTATGGGAAAACGTGTTTCGCAAGACAAATTTTTCACAAGACATTAACCATGGAACGAATTAAATTCATCTTGCAAGGCACCACTGTACCATATGCCATTGGCTTTTGCTAATTGAGCATTAATAACATGACATTAAATGAAATCGCTTTCCAGAAATTCTAATAGCCTTGTAAAAACAGCATATATTATTTTTATTTTGTATTATTATGTTCATTATTGGTACAGTGTGTGTTTTATCTGTCTAACATGTAAACTGCCCAGAATGGCCTAGTAGCCACATGGGTGGAATAGAAGCCGAATAAATAAATAAATAATAAATAAATAAATAAGTATAGGCCATCCATCACTGTTCACCTTGCTTCAGATGGAATTTTGAATACTGAATATTGCCATGTTAGTGGTGGTGGTACTACTATTCCTATACAACTGTAATAAACCCTTTAATAATATGCCAGGACAGATACAAAAGAAGAGCATAAGTGGATCATCACCAGTACTGTTAGATAGAAACTGTACCTGAAGGTTTCTTACCTGGCTTGGTGAATAGCCTCTACCCATTCTTCTCCATCTACTTCATCTTCACAACGGAGCTCAAGTGGCTTCTGCCCCTCATGGCCAAAGAATACAGTAAAATAGAACTGCAGCATGGAGAAAAAAGTTTTGGATTTAGTTATCTATACAGCAGCATCCAAGATACAACATCAAGTATAAATAATGTAGTCAGCATCTACAATGGAATGATAAATGGCTGAAATCCTGTTGCTTGGTGTAGTAAGTTGAACTAGAGTGGGCCTATTGAATCAGTGAGGATTTAGTGAGTCAGTTCCTCCATAAGTTCTATTGATCCGAATGGGCCCATTCTAGATGCAATTTACTACACTAAAATAAGTCACATCTAGAATAAGCCCACTTGAATAAAATGAACTTTCAGAGGAGTTGATACACTAAACTCCATTGATTCAATGGACCTACACTAGTATGACTTACTACACCAAGTCACAGGATTTTAACCACTTAACATAATTCTAAACATAACAGACCAAAGATCCATTCAGAAGCCTCTGTTTTCCACAATGACTACTCACAAGCGCACAAGCAGGAAATGACCCTCTTCCACTATTGTTCTCCAACAGCCAATACTGTTGGAGCAACCATCATCATTAATAGCTATGAGTGATTCTCCCATCAACTGACATAAAAATATTTTAGTTAACTACATACTGCATCTTGTCTCACCTTTCTACTTCATGTCGCTTCAAGTGTGTTCAGTTACTGAGATGGAAAAAAATTCTCTACTTGCTCTTCCCACACCACAACTGACTATTATAAAACAGCTAACTTTATAAATGATCACATTTCCTCTTACTATTTTTCTAAACTAAAAGGCCTCTAATGTTGCACTGTTCCATATAGAAAAGTTGCCCAAAATTGTGAAGTGTACATGGTCATTATACCCCATCTGGCACAGTCTTTTCTGAGGAGGTAAGCTTGCCTTAGCAGAAGGGACCATGGACAGAAGAAATATTAAAGCAAGCAGGCACTTCCCAGAGACACAGGAGATTGAGACAGTGTCTGGACTTTTCAGAGAAAATTGTAGTCCCTCCAGGTGGCAATGGAGGCTCTGAAATGGTAGTACATCTGACTGAGCCTGAAAAGAATACCAGCAACTTATAGCATTGAACAAGAGAGCATAATAGAGGCAAAGAACACATCTCCAAGGATATCCCAGATGCAGCAAAGAAATGAGCAGACACAGCTGGGAAAAGACAGCACCAACACCACAGGCAAATAAATACAGCTCAGAATTCCTGACCAAGTTGCTGGACCCAATGTCCTTATTTCATCTGTTCCTTGTCCAGTTCTCAGCCTTCTCTGTTCCTTGCTTCTCTACCAAACCCACTTCCAGCTGAGCTGATGTGGACCTGTACTCTCTAATTAACTTGCTTCTGACTGTTCCCTGTTTAGGCCTTGTTTGGGTACTTGATTGGATGCATCAGTGATTTATGGATTGACTATGTATCTGGATTGTGACTATTCCCTGCACAAATTGAGAACTCTAGTATTCTCAGTGCCTTCACTCTTAGACTTTCCTCACAGAATTTAGCTGCTGTCTCACTGGCACTAGCAACCACAAACCAGTACCACAGTATTTGAAACACATAATGGATTTGTATGAAGGCCCTACAAGACTGGTAGCTTTTTCAATCCCAATGTCAAACAATGTTAAATTCTTGGACTAAATCCATGTTTAGTCTTGCTAGAGTATTTTCCTTTTATTTTACCAATTCCTAACAACTCAGAAAGTCTGGCTTACATGTGACAAATGGTGGATTCACTTCTTGTTTTGAATACATTTCTCTCACTATGCTTGTATCACCAATGACTGAACATGAGCTAAGAGACCTTAGATCAAGCATATGAAAGCATTCTATATATTGCCTTGAATTAACTGACAAAATCTAGCCTAAAGGAGAACAAGTACTTTTTATGCTTTTAGGCCAGAAATACTGCACATGTCTAGTAAGGTGTGGTAATTAGAAATCTGAAGACTATGGTACAGCCACTAGGGGCATTGCTTCAATTTAGACTATGTACACAGTGATTCCAGATGTGGTCTGTTGATGTTATTCCTCTGTCCTTTTTTTAAAAAAGGTGGCTTCTGCAGTTTCTTGCTACCTGTTATCTAAAGAGAGAGATTTTCATAGAGAAATATTATTACACCTTTATGTTCCTTTTCATTGTTTAATTTCAAAATTATACTTAAAAATTTAAGCAGTCCCAATCCTCCCCCCCAAAACATTACTCCTCAAAAGCATTATTTAAGGAGTACTGAGTAAATGTTACTCATTATGTAATGTCATTTCCAGCCATTACATTATTCTGGAAGAAGGCCATTTTTATTCCCTTGTTACTCTCTCCAAATGTCTAGTTTCTGTTTTCACTATAGCAATGTGATGGAAAATGTAAGGTGACAACGATGGCCCTGGAACAAGCTGAGAAAGAATTCTACATACTGTACTGTTTTCGAAAAAAGTAGTAATTTATTTATTTGTTTGTTTATTTGTTTATTTGTTTATTTGTTTGTTTGTTTGTTTGTTTGTTTGTTTAAATTGGGTTCTAGTCTGGGTAATTTGTTTTACGCAAAAATGTTTTTTTAACCTTATTAATGAAAAGCAAGGTATCAATGCCACAATTGTAGATTATGAAAACAGAAATAAGACATGCTGATAACAGCCTAGGTGAGATAGAACAGCTTCAGTCAAATAAAGCATGATTTGTTGCCTCCTTTCACCTGATGTAATTGAGGGTAATGGTTGCTCCTTTTTCAATCCAATATTTATCATTCAGTATTGTCTGATGAAGTGGACCAGTCCACAAAAGCTCACATTAAAATTAGTCTTTAAACCACAATGTTTTATCTTCTTTATCTTTTTATTTGAGTTTTGCCTGTCACTCAATAGGGTTTCACTGCCTTCGTATCGTAACAGCAAGACGTGGGTGCTGTGCCTCCTCCATTCCACTCCCAATGGCCACCATCTGATAGGCTAAAGATTTTAGGACCAGTCCCATGCCATATCTCTTCAAGCCAATGAGGTGTGCTTGGCCAGTGACTTTGCACCCTCCAGGTGCCTGCAGAGGCTCAGTAGGGTATTTTAGTTTATCTCTTTAGGTAATCCAGTGGCCAGACACATGCTACAACTGATAACCTTCATTAGCCCCTTAGGTTTTCCCTTTAGCCTCCGGTCTGGGTGCTGAGGGACAAAATCACTACTGGGCTGTGGTTGAGGAATAGTATTACCCAGCAAATGAGAGTTTTGCCCAATTGCTTTATTGTCTTGCTTCTTTGCTATTGCAGGATGAGATTCAACCATTCCAGATCTTCTTCAAAGTACAAGCCCCACAATACAGTATAGCTGAACTGCAACATTGTGGCTGCAACGTCGGCTTAGCTGAATGAGATCTCAGGTTTCTGATTAAAATCCAATAATAATTTGGGTGGTGCTTGTTTAAAACAAAGCCTTTTAGGATCCCACAAGCTTCCTAGTTATAAATCACATTAATCACAAATGCAGGATTTATAATGGTAGCTGTACCTTTTGCTATACGACTGCTTTGCAAAAAGGGGGGAGAGGGGGGGGAGTGTTAAAAAAACAAAAATATGCTAACCTTAGCAATGTTTCATTTTGTAACAGACTACTAGCTTTCAGGTTACATGCAATCTGGTGTTGATCAAACATACCATAAAACACATAGCCTTTTTGTACCATGTGGCCTCTGACCATGTGGCCAGCATGGTGGATTTCAGTCTCCCATCATGGTTGAGATCACAATTTATTTCTTTATCACTTTTTTCTGATTGTAACTAAAGTTCCACAAGTATAAGTAAAGATGGTTTTCTTTTTCTACTTAAGCTACTTGTAGAGTGATTTTTATATACAAAGGGCTAGTGTCACTGGAGCTGGGTAGAAGATGGGACTTTTAGCTGTTTATATTTTCACTGTGTTGCAGCTGGCTTTTGTACTTTATGCTCTGACAACTAAAAGGAAATAACAAAAAAAAATCTCAAACTGTGCAATCTACTGTAGGAGTCTGCTTGTCCACCAAAGTGCATGTAGAGTGGCCACTTATACACTACTCACAAAGAAGATATCTACCTTCAAAAAGGGAGAATATTTATTTGCAAAAAAACAAAAAAAACCCTGCTTATACAAATTGATAAGTACAGATGCAAAAACAAAAAGGATTTTCATAATTTAAACACAATTATTAGGCAAATTACATAACTCAATCATGTGAGAAATACCATGACAAGGTAATTTGTGTGCCTGTCGAGTGAGAATGTGAGAATTTGAACACTTTTCACATTCTGGAACTTTTAAATGAAAATTTCACAGTGGTGTTTCTGAAAAAAAAGTCTGCACAAAAATGCAAGTCTTATGTAAAATGCAAGTTTTTGTGCTAACTTTGGGCAGGGGGGGGCAGCTACATAAAGTCCTAGTGTTTGTTCTGAGAGAAAAATCTTGCAGTGATCTACTTTTTCTCTCTCTTGATATCTTGAGAAAACGCTGTGGGGTGGGAGTTATTTTTTTGGCAAGGATAAGAAAAAATGTGAGCATTCATTACATTTTAAATAAAATCTTAGAAACCTTACATAATGCCAATAAATTGATCCACCCACAACTGCTCTCCCCCAATTTGACAAAGTCTGAGAAAGATTTCTCTCACACACATACCAATATGCCATAAAACACTGGGCTGAATACTTCTGGCAAATACTAATCTAAATCATTTTCCAGCTAATGGAAGTTCAAGAAAGACGATCCACTATAGTATCTAGTACATATTTTACAAGGTTTTTCCACAGACAGCAACATAACTCTCACTAGCTATTTCAAACAAAGCCACCATGTTTCTCCAAAAATAAGACAATGTCTTATATTAATTTTTGCTCCAAAAGACCGATTAGGGCTTATTTTCAGGGGATGTTTTTTTCTTCATATACAACAACCTACATTTATTCAAATACAGTCATGTCGTCTTCTTCTGGTTGCTGCACAATGGTGGAGGGCGGAGTTTCACTTAACTAGGTTTTATTTTTGGAGTAGGAGTTATATTACAAGCATCCTGAAAAAGCATA